ATCGGTATTACCTTGTTATCGCGGCATCTCTTGAGAAAGATGCCATCCAGACATCCACCCTACGTCCTTCCTTGCAGAAGAGATACGTCGATGACACGTTCGTCATCTGGCCACATGGCCTGCCAGCACTGAACCAATTTCTCAACCACATCAATTCCATACACCCATCTATCAAATTCACCATGGAAGTGGAAAAGGATGGCAAGCTACCATTCCTGGATGTTTTGATCGAGAAGAGACCTGATGGCTCGTTGGGACACTGTCTACAGGAAAGAAACCCATACGGATGCCTATCTAAAGCCTGACTCCCACCACCATCCAGCCCAGAAGAATTCCCTCATCAAAACACTACACCATGAGGCCCGTTGATCTCCGACCAGCACCGCCTAGCCAGTGAGTTGGAGCACGTGAACCAAGCCCTCAAGATGAACGGATACTCTGACCGTACAATCCGCAAAGCTGTCTCCCCAGCCATGGGGAGACAACCTGAGGATCCAACCAAAACCATCACTTTACCATACAAATCCGTAATTTGATCGCATCTGTAAAGGATGTGATTCCTGACATGCAATTCCTTGGTGTCTACAAACTGAGTTGTGGTTGTGGCAGCAGGTACATTGGGGAAACGAAAACATGTCTCGGACCGTGTTCGTGAACTCAAGGCAGATCTGAAACACGGTAGGCCCAATACCTCTACTGTTGTTGATCATTATTTAAACGCTGTGGGCTCACACGAAATGTATTTTCCCAAGACGAAGGTACTCTGCAAACTCACCAGCTACCTTCAGAGATGTGTTCATGAAGCCATCCAGATATATAAACATAGACATAACTTCAACCGAGAAGATGGATACAAATTGAACAATCATTGGAAGGATGTTATTAGCCAGGTAATGCCTTAACTGGTTGTGGTTGTTTCCATTGTACCTGCCGTTTACGAGTATTTTTTTTTTATTTAAAGCCTTCGTGACTGCAGAGATTCATATTCAAAGTCACGTAGAAGGGAAACAATAACATAATAAAAATATAAAACAATAAAATTCTCACGACGTTTCGACTGCAACACAAGCAATCATCATCAGGTGTGAAACCCACAGCAAGAATTTTTTTTAAAAAGTGGCGGCTTTTTCTTAACGTTAGCACCACGGATAGCGATTTGGCAGTTATTCAGATGGACGAGTCCATCTATGTTCGGAAAGAGGGGAGAGACAAAAATAATGGATGCGGTCTGAAAGCCACCATAAGCGTGATCAATCAATTAAGACCCGAAATGGTTTATCAAATCCTTCCAATGATTGCTAAGCCAGAATCCACCATCTTCTCAGTTTAAATTGTCTCTGTGTTTGTATATGTGGATAGCCTCATGAACGAATCTCTCATGGTAGGCTCACATGACATTGACTTCTCCAAGACAGAGGTTCTCTGCAAGCCATCTGGCTACCATGAGAGATCAGAATCAGAAAGGGTTTTATTCGCCATGAAAGTTCACACAGACACGGAATTTACTTTGGCAGGATGGTGCATACATTCAACATATAGGAATCTAAAATCTTAAATAAGTGGTAAACAAGTCTAACTATAATAAGGGTTCAAAGTCTAACTAACACCAAGGGGCTAAAGTATATAAAATTGAATAAATATCGAATATAAAATATCAATAAGATACAATAAAAATAAAAAAATACAAATAAGGTAACATAGTTAATATTGGCAAGGTGTAATTTTGTAGATAAAATGCTTAAGTCAGTTTAAGCCCTTGGCCTTGTTTAAGAGGCCAGCAGCGGAAGGGAAGAAACGATTTTTGTGGCGTGAGGTTTTGGTCCTGATGGACCGCAGCCTTCTGCCGGAGGGGAGTAGCTGAAACAGAGAGTGTCCAGGGTGGGAGGAATCGGCCACAATCTTCCTCGCTCGCCTCGTGGTCCTTGTCGTGTGCAGGTCCTCGAGGGTTGGTAGATTGCAGGCAATCACCTTCGCAGCAGTGTGGATGATACGCTGCAGTCTGCTCTTGTCCTTGGCAGTGGCAGCAGCGTACCAGACGGTTATGGAGGAGGTGAGGATGGATTCAATGATCGCTGTATAGAATTGCACCATCATTGTCTTTGGCACGTTGAATTTCTTCAGCTGCCGTAGAAAGTACATCCTCTGTTGAGCTCTCTTGGTGAGGGAGCTGATGTTCAGTTCCCACTTGAGGTCCCGGGAGAGAATAGTGCCCAGGAAGCGGAAGGACTCTACAAATTTGACTGGGGAGTCTAACAGGGTGATGGGGGTGAGTGGGGCTGTATTCTTCCTGAAGTCCACAACCATCTCAACTGTCTTTAGAGCATTTAGCTCTAAGTTGTTCTGGCTACACCAGGTCACCAGGTTGTCAGCTTCCCACCTAGAGTCAGACTCATCCCCACCAGAGATCAGCCCAATGAGGGTGGTGTCGTCCGCAAACTTCAAGAGTTTGACAGATGATTGGAGGTGCAGCTGTTGGTATACAGGGAGAAGAGCAGTGGGGAAAGGACGCAGCTCTGAGGAGTTCCGGTGCTGATGGATCTGGAGTCAGAGACTTGTGTTCCCAGCTTAACGCACTGCTTCCTGTCAGACAGGAAGTCTGTGATCCACCTGCAGGTGGAGTAGGGCACGTTCAGTTGGAAGAGCTTGTCCTGAAGCAGGGCAGGGATGATGGTATTGAAGGCAGAGCTGAAGTCCACAAACAGGATCCTGGCGTAAGATGCTGGGGAGTCCAGATGCTGTAGGGTGAAGTGGAGGGCCATGTTAACTGCGTCATCCACAGACCTGTTGGCTCTGTAGGCAAACTGAAGGGGGTCCAGGAGAGGGTCTGTGATGGCTTTGAGGTGTGCCAGGACCAGGCGCTCAAAAGACTTCATTACCACAGATGTAAGGGCGACCGGTCTATAATCATTTAGTCATGTTGGCCTCAGCTTTTTGGGCACAGGGATGATGGTGGAGGACTTGAGACAGGCTGGTACATGGCATGTCTCCAGTGAGGCATTATAGAGGCTATCCACATATACAAACACAGAGACAATTTCAACCGAGAAGATGGATTATGGCTTAGCAATCATTGGAAGGATTTGATTAACCATTTCGGGTCTTAATTGATTGTTCACGCTTACGGTGGCTTTCAGACCGCATCTATTATTTTCTTCTCCCCCCTCCTCTTTTCCGAACATCGCTCTCCGTGGTGCTAACGTAAAAAAAAACCCGCCACTTTTTTCAAATTTTCTTGCCGTGGTTTTCACACCTGATGATTGCTTGTGTTGCAGTCGAAACGTCGGGAGAATTATTGTTTTATATTTTTTTACTTTATTGTTTCCCTTCTACGTGACTTTACCGAAATAACCAAGAATATAGTAAATTTGTATTTATTTTCCCCCGTGTCCCACACTCAGCCTCACACTTCTAGCCCCACCCACTTCCCCCGCCCCCAGCCTCACGTCCTCTCCCCCTAGTGCTCACGCAGCCACCCCCCCCCACCTCTCTCTCTCTCTCCACCCTTTCTTACCGATATAACCTCTTGCCACGGCAGCTCTCTCGCCTACTTCAGCATTTCCTTGCTGTGGTTGTTCCACCTGATGAAGATCGCTTGTGGTGCGATCGAAACGTCGTGATTTGTTTTATTTGATTTTATTTCTACCTACGTGACTTTACTGAAAGAAACAAAAAGTATGGATTCCTGCAGTCACAAAAGCTTCAAATCAAGATTGAACTCCTGCACTCACTACGCATCTCCTCGATTTCTCAATCACCACCATGCAGGATGCACACACACTCCACTGACAATGTCACTTTTTATTAAACATCATCACCACCATCATCATCAACACTGCTATTATCACGTCGTATAAACAGGTACTAAAATGTAATCGGTAGCAGGGCTGCATTTACAAGAGCGAGGAATCCGAGAGATGCACAACCTACTTGCTGTACTGCAGTGTGCACGACATTGTAAACGTCATCACCATAATTTCCACCAACGACATAATCAACATTGCTCACCTTTTCACCGATATTGGCTTCATCACATTTAACATCACCACCACCACAACGGCAATTCTCATCACCAACCACCTTCAGGTTAGGGGCTGGGGCTACAGTCAATGTTAGGGCACCAGAGTCAGTGTTAGGGCGAGAAACGGTGCTACAACTAAGAGTCATGGTTAGGTTAGTGTCATGGTTAGGGGAAGGTCTAGTGTTAAGGACTATGGTTAGGGATAGCGCAATGGTTAGGGCTAGAGTCAGTGTTAGGTCTAGGGGCAGTGATAGGTCTAGACTCTAGACAGTGATAGGACAAGACAACGATGGGGCTACATACAGTGATAGGGCTAGAGTAGTGATAGGGCTAGACATTGGATAGGGCTAGAGTCATGGTTAGGGCTAAGCCTAGTGTTCGTGTCAGGGGTAGTGTGAGGGTTTAGCCATAGCACTAACAAAGACCCCCCCATAAAGCCTGAACATACTGTTGAGGCAAGTGCTGTTAGTGAGCAGCACCTATGAAGGCCGGCACAGCACACAATGAGGTGGGTGGCCAACACCAAAGCCAGCTAACTTGATCTCCCCAGTGGCGATGATTTTTATGCACTGCACCAAGTACTCATTTGAGGCCGAGTCGACTTAGGGGAGGCCCAGGACTGGTTCAAATAATCGTCACTGGTGTTGCCTGTGAGCGGTAATCGAACTTGGGCCACAGGGTTCTTCGTGTAGCGTAGCGCTAACCGCTACTACACTACCGCTCCCCACGGCTCAGTGCTTTGGCTAAACCCCATACAATATGGTGCTATGGGTTCAGACACAGCACTGACAGACATAGCCACCTCAGTGTCTCTTCCCCGTGTCCCCCTCACGGAAGACGCATCCCCTCCTCCCCGCGTCTCCCCTCCTACCTGTCTCCCCCCTCCCCGCGTCACCTCCCCCTCGCCGCATCCCCACGTCTCCCACACTCCCTGTATCTCCACTCCTCCCCATGTCTCCCCCTCCTCCCGGCATCTCCCCTCCCCATGTTTTCCCCTTCTCCCTGCGTCTGCCCCCACCTCCCCGTGTCTCACGCGTCTCCCCCTGCATGCCTCACGCCATCTCTACCCTCGTGTACCTCCCTCTCCTCCCCGCGTTCAGCATGGGCAGGGAGAAGCGCAGGGGAACACTGGTAGAGACGTTCCCCTCCAGTATGAGGAAAATGCGGAACCACCAAAGCTTCCTGAACCAGTTCCCAGACCCCCGCGACTTGAGATCCTAAAACGCGGTGAGAATGAGAGGGGAGGGGAGGGAGAAGAGATCGACGAGATGTTAACTACCTTGCCTGGTATGCAGGAGTCCTAGGTTCTATCCCGACCAGGTCCCCTGCTGTATATTTGGAGTTTGCGTATCTCTCGGTCCCAGCCGTTGCACGGATTTTTCTCTGGGTCATCCAGTTTTTTTCCCCTCCACATTTGAAGTCGATGTCTCAACGAGTTTAGAGTAAAATTTCGATTTAAAGCTTTCGTGACTGCAATGATTCATCTTCTTTGGTTCTTTCGGTAAAGTCACGTAGAATGAGAATAAAATAATAAATTGATAAAATAAAATAACACAATAATATTATAAAATAAAATAACACAATAATATTATTGTGTTATTTTATTTTATCAATTTATTATTTTATTCTCATTCTACGTGACTTTACCGAAAGAAACAAAGAAGATGAGTTTAGAGTATTTAGTTGGATGCGAAAAATTTGCACGTGATGATAAGCCACTTCGTTGAGCTATCATTTGAGATAGCCAGGTCGCTTCTGAAAAAGAGCTGTAGCTCAGTGGGTCTTACCTGGTAAAATGTAGTTGGTTAATAGACTGTGAATGAGAGACCAACAGTGCGAGTGTGAGCGAGTCGTGATCCACGATTCAATTACTGCTCACGTTCAACGCCCATGACGATTATCTGAAAAGGTCCTGGGCCTCCCCTAGATTGGCTCAGCCTAAAATGAGCACCTGGTGCGGTGTGTAAACATCGCCACTAGAGAGACAAAGGCGGCCGGGCATGGTGTTCGCCACCCACCCCTTCGTGTGCCGTGCCGGCCTTCATAGGTGCTGCTCCCTAACAACACTTGCCCCAAGAGTCTGTTAAAGCTATACGGGGGATCTTTGTCTTTGTGCGAGTGGCTATGTGAGTGGCTATGCGAGGGGTTGGGCCATGAAGCCCACATTCTCAGCCACCACATGCCCAAGCAACTTCTGTGTCGCCGGATAGAGGGGACTAAACGAGCACGGCATTGGCTAGAGAAGATGTTGAGCTGATGCAGTGCAGGAGGATGTGGAGCTGATTGGACTTCCCGAAGACCGGTAGCAGCAGTGTCCAGATCTGCTTCATTGGAGGAGGCTCATAAAGGATGCTACTGAGCAGTTGGAGGTAATCGCCATCCAACAACAGCGGAGGGCAGAGGAGCGACGCTCACAACAACGAGCGGAGTGCCGGATGGCTAAAACACAGCAGGTTGGCACAGTAGAGGGCACAGGTGGTGTACAGTGAGGGAAAAAAGTATTTGATCCCCTGCTGATTTTGTATGTTTTCCCACTGACAAAGAAATGATCAGTCTATAATTTTAATGGTAGTTTTATTTGAACAGTGAGAGACAGAATAACAACAAAATCCAGAAAAACGCATGTCAAAAAAGTTATAAATTGATTTGCATTTTAATGAGGGAAATAAGTATTTGCCCCATCTGCAAAACATGAATTAGTACTTGGTGGCAAAACCCTTGTTGGCAATCACAGAGGTCAGACATTTCTTGTAGTTGGCCACCAGGTTTGCACACATCTCAGGAGGGATTTTGTCCCACTCCTCTTTGCAGATCTTCTCCAAGTCATTAAGGTTTCAAGGCTGACGTTTGGCAACTCGAACCTTCAGCTCCCTCCACAGATTTTCTATGGGATTAAGGTCTGGAGACTGGCTAGGCCACTCCAGGACCTTAATGTGCTTCTTCTTGAGCCACTCCTTTGTTGCCTTAGCCGTGTGTTTTGGGTCATTGTCATGCTGGAATACCCATCCACGACCCATGTTCAATGACCTGGCTGAGGAAAGGAGGTTCTCACCCAAGATTTGACGGTACATGGCCCCGTCCATCGTCCCTTTGATGCGGTGAAGTTGTCCTCTCCCCTTAGCAGAAAAATACCCCCAAAGCATGTTTCCACCTCCATGTTTGACGGTGGGAATGGTGTTCTTGGGGTCATAGGCAGCATTCCTCCTCCTCCAAACACGGCGAGTTGAGTTGATGCCAAAGAGCTCCATTTTGGTCTCATCTGACCACAACACTTTCACCCAGTTGTCCTCTGAATCATTCAGATGTTCATTGTCAAACTTCAGACGGGCATGTATATGTGCCTTCCTGAGCAGGGGGACCTTGCGGGCACTGCAGGATTTAAGTCCTTCACGGCGTAGTGTGTTACCAATTGTTTTCTTGGTAACTATGGTCCCAGCTGCCTTGAGATCATTGACAATATCCTCCCGTGTAGTTCTGGGCTGATTCCTCACTGTTCTCATGATCATTGCAACTCCACGAGGTGAGATCTTGCATGGAGCCCCAGGCCGAGGGAGATTGACAGTTCTTTTGTGTTTCTTCCATTTGCGCATAATCGCACCAACTGTTGTCACCTCACCAAGCTGCTTGGCAATGGTCTAGTAGCCCATTCCAGCCTTGTGTAGGTCTACAATCTTGTCCCTGACATCCTTGGAGAGCTCTTTGGTCTTGGCCATGGTGGAGAGTTTTGAATCTGATTGATTGATTGCTTCTATGGACAGGTGTCTTTTATACAGGTAACAAGCTGAGATTAGGAGCACTCCCTTTAAGAGTGTGCTCCTAATCTCAGCTCATTACCTGTATAAAAGACACATGGGAGCCAGAAATCTTTCTGATTGAGAGGGGGTCAGATACTTATTTCCCTCATTAAAATGCAAATCAATTTATAACATTTTTGACATGCGTTTTTCTGGATTTTTTTTGTTATTCGGTCTCTCACTGTTCAAATAAACCTACCATTAAAATTATAGACTGATCATTTCTTTGTCAGTGGGCAAACGTACAAAATCAGCAGGGGATCAAATACTTTTTTCCCTCACTGTATCTACCGGCCATTTCAGTCAACGCATGGCACACGCGGGTCTGCGGTAACGTCCTACCAAAAGTGAGCCTTCCCCACCTCGTGTGACGGCCTCAAAGGTACACCTAGCCGGGCACAAGCGCCGTGGTGACATCACCTCCACTTAGTGGGCGAACAGACGGTGCTGCTGTTGTGCGAGTGGCAAAAACAATCCCCTACCCTCCTCGGCCGGTAACACAGTGGTGGCTTCGAGCTATGGAAGGATGATAGGATGAGAGTCAAACCCTGACCAGGATTTGAACTTGCATTCCAGCCTCCTGGGAGCCAAGCACTCGAATGTGCCAGTGGCGTATGCCTAAAAAAATTGCCTTAAGGCAGGATTGGTTTTCAGTGCATGAGGTTAAAACAACCCCCTACCTCCCCGGTGGTGCCGCGCGGTAACGCTATGGTGGCTGTGAGCAACACCATTGGGAGGGGGGGGGAGGAGGTTGATTCCAATCGGCTGTTCCCCTCACGGCGATCGTAGCCACCACAGCGCCAATGGGGGGTTCTGGGTGGCTGTAAGGGGCTGGTGACCCCTTCACCGCTTAACCACGGGGGAACCGAGACCAACTGAAGCCTGTGCCAGAGGCCCCAGGGGCACAGGCGTCTATGACATACCCTGGCCAAACCCTGGACTTGTTGGAATACAGGAGGCGTCTGGTGGACCAGCTCTGGCTCGAGTCATCATGAGGGGTGAGTAGCTCTTCTTCTGAACAAAAGAATGAAGGGGGCGTGGGAGCGTCGCGGTGAGGTATGGGAAGCTGTGAGTACCATGATATTATGGGCTCGTCTCCCCTTTAAAAAAGGAGGCCAGAAATGGTGGTGGTGGTGGCTTACGCCACCACAGAAGATTAACATCAATGGAGGGATGCATGCAAGGCTGATGAGTCAGATGCCTTCTATGACCTCCTGTCACAGGTGCTAGCTAAAGTGGCCCCTCGGGATAGTCATCCTGTTGGGTGACTTTAATGCCCGAGTGCTTCATGATGCAGGAACCTGGGATAGAGCGATTGAGAAGCATGGGCCAGTTCAGCTCAATAACAACAGGAGGCGGCTGAATTTCGATTTACAATTTCAACCGAGAAGATGGATTCTGGCTTAGTAATCATTGGAAAGATGTTTTAAACCATTTCGGTTCTTAATTAATTGTATTTTACGGTGACCTTCAGACGGCATCTCTTTCACTGGCATTACCTCTTAATACCTCTCACACCACGGTTAATGGTATGGTTTATAACATGGAGTATAACAGCACATCGTGGCTATTTCTCCCCCCTCCTCCATTCCGAGCATAGATGGACTCGTCCGTCTGAACAAAGCTCATCGCTCTCCGTGGTGCTAACGTTGGAAAGAAAAAAACACCACCCATTTTTTCGCCATATGGCATTGTAATGTATAACGACTTATTGTTAGTAGCTCAGCTGATTGGAGAGTATATAGAGTTTATTGATAACATTGATGTAGTTGATATTTTAGTTTTTTTATTAGTTTACTATATGGTATTCATTATATAGTGTAGTGTATACCCAGTTACTTTATGTTAATAGCTCAACTTATTTAAGAATATATTGAGTACATTTATTATATTGATGTAATTTATAGTTTTTTTCACATCGGTTTATTGTATGATAGTTGGGTAGTTGCAGTCCTTTAGCGTCCATATACTAAATGCCTCTGTTGATATGTAAACTTTGACTTTAACATAGCTATTTCCGTGACCAGTCACATGCTATCACTCACATTAACATCATACTAATCTCCCAGTTACATGCTAATTTCTGACTTTAACACCCTGCTGATCCAACACTTTATCACAGCTATTTCAATGCTAAATTCTCCTGTTTGATATGTAAACTCCTTTGTCAAGGCGCTTTACTTCTCCCACCTAGCTTAAAAGACGTTGCGAATCTTATCAGCATTCATTGAAGCGCTGTCGTCCCGACAGTTCTGTTCCTTCACCTGAAGAATGCTACTTGTGTTGTGGCCGAAACGTCGTGAGAATTTTATTGTCTTATTTTGTTTGATTGTTTTAGTCTCATTCTACGTGACTTTATGGAAAGAACCAAGAAGAGGAGGAGGCTGCTCGACTTCTGTGCAGCCCATGTGCTTGTAATCATGAACACGCTGTTCCAGCATCGGCGCATCCACACAACACCATGGATGCACGCCGGGTCCAGGCAAGAATATCTGCTGGACTACATAGTGATGGAACAGATAATGCAGGCCCATGTCCCAGACATCACGACCTACCGTGGAGCTGATCTGCCCACTATCGGCTTGTCGTCTGTAAGGTGCGCCTGCCATTCTTCAACTTAGGTGGTGGGCATTCATATAAAACCTAACTCAAGCCCATAGTGGCCTGCTGATGAAAGTTGCAGGTGGGAATTTCATCATCGCATGCAGCTGGGGTTGGCATCATCCCCCATGACTGGTTGAATGAGTGAATGATTGGTTGAATATATGAATGGTCGAGTGAGTATATGAATGAATAGTTCAGTTTGTGCCTTAATGGTTGAGTGAGTAAATTAATGGTTGAGTGAGTATATGAATGAACTATAGGGCATGTGAATGGTTGAGTGAGCTTATGAATGCACGGTTGAATGAGTATATGAATGGAAGATTGTGTGACCAACATGAATGAATAGTTGAGTATAATGAATGAATGGTTAAGTGAGTATATAAATGAATGGTTGAGTGAGCATGTTAATGACCGGATCAATGAGCATGTGAATTACCGGTTCAGTGAGCATATAATTGAATGGTCCAGTGAGTATATAAATTAACAGTTCAGTGAGTATATGGCCAGTTGAGTTAGTATATGGCATAGTCAGCATATAAATGACCGGTTCAGGGAGTATATGAATGAATGGTGGAGTGGGCATATGAACCAGTGGTCAAGTGAGTATATGGACGAATGGTCGAGTCAGTATATGAATTAACGCTTCAGTGAGTCTATGAATAAATTATTGAGTATATGAATGAACGGTTCAGTGAGTATATGAATGGATGGTTGAATGAGTACATGAATGAACGGTTCAGTGAGTATATGATTGAACGGTTGAGCATGTGTGTGAATGGTTGAGTAAGTTTTCAAACAGTTGAGTATATGAATGAATAGTTGGCGTGAACAGGTGAATGACTTGTTCAGTGAGTATCTGAATGGTTGAGTGACTTTATGATTGAACGTTTGAGTGAGCATGAATGGTTCAGTGAGTTTATAAAGGAATAGTCAAGTGAGCATATGAATGAATGGTCGAGTGACTTTATAAATGAACAGTTGAGTGTGTGAATGAGTGGGAGAACTCACGGTCGTGCTGGCCATGCTGTGGTAGGTGTAATGCAGGCGCGTCGTCACGTAGTACGCGGCCAGCACGTCGATGCTGTAGTGGTCGTGCGCTGCCAAGATAGCCACTATGCCGCTCGCCGCCAGCAGGAAACAGAGAACCCGGTACCAAAGCCAGCGTCGGGGGGAATCTGGAGGGTCAATGCACTGCTCACTTACTCACAGTCGCTCATTCACTCACTCGTACTCACACACTCACCCATCTACACACTCGCCCAAACACTCACTCACTTGCTGACTCAGGTACACACTCGCTCGCTCACACACTCACCCATGTACACACTCACTGACTCACACATGTACACACTCGCTCACTTCGCCCATGTGCACACTCGCTCACTCACCCATGTGCACACTCGCTCACTCACTCATGTACACTTGCTCATTCATGAACAACACTCGCTCACTTACTTGCTCACCCACTCGTTCACTCACCCACTCGTTCACTCATCCACTCGTTCACTCAATCTTCATAATTTCATTGCATTTCACGCTTGAGAGGCCCTCAATGTTCAGCTGCATGATTCTCTGCGACGGACCAACAATTACATTGCTTTGGCCATGAGAAGGACCTATTAAACTGTTTCTTTTCATCCGAGATGCCTTAGTGGGGCATTCGGGCGCCAATTAGATGACAGTTCGTTGTACTTTCACACGTAGCAGGGCAGGGAAGTCAGCGAGCAGGTTGTCATCTTCTCACCCACTCACTCATTCACTCACTCGCTCACTCATTCACTCACTCGCTCACTCATTTACTCAACCACACATACACACTCAGTGCTTCATGTACACACTCGCTTACTCATTCACTCACTCGCTCACTCATTCACTCACTCGCTCACTCATTCACTCACTCGCTCACTCATTCACTCACTCGCTCACTCATTCACTCAACCACAGATACACACTCAGTGGTTCATGTACACACTCGCTCACTCACTCACTCACCCACCCACTCATTCACTCAGCCACACATACACACTCAGTGGTTCATGTACACACTCGCTCACTCATTCACTCACTCACCCACTCATTCACTCAACCACACATACACACGCAGTGCTTCATGTATACACTCGCTCACTCATTCACTCACTCGCCCAGTCATTCACTCAACCACACATACACACTGAGTGGTTCATGTACACACTCGCTCACTCATTCACTCACTCACCCACTCATTCACTCAACCACACATACACACTCAGCGCTTCATGTATACACTCGCTCACTCATTCACTCACCCACTCATTCACTCAACCACACATACTCAGTGCTTCATGTACACACTCGCTCACTCATTCACTCACTCGCCCACTCATTCACTCAACCACACATACACACTGAGTAGTTCATGTACACAATCGCTCACTCATTCACTCACTCATCCACTCATTCACTCAACCACACATACACACGCAGTGGTTCATTTACACACTCACTCACTCATTCACTCACTCATCCACTCATTCACTCAACCACACATACACACTGAGTAGTTCATGTACACACTCGCTCACTCACCCACTCATTCACTCAACCAGACATACACAGAGTGCTTCATGTACACACTCGCTCACTCAATCACTCACTCACCCACTCATTCACTCAACCACACATACACACTCAGCGCTTCATGTATACACTCGCTCACTCATTCACTCACCCACTCATTCACTCAACCACACATACACACTGAGTGGTTCATGTACACACTCGCTCACTCATTCACTCACTCACCCACTCATTCACTCAACCAGACATACACACTGAGTGCTTCATGTACACACTCGCTCACTCATTCACTCACTCGCCCACTCATTCACTCAACCACACATACACACTGAGTAGTTCATGTACACAATCGCTCACTCATTCACTCACTCATCCACTCATTCACTCAACCACACATACACACTGAGTGCTTCATGTACACACTCGCTCACTCATTCACTCACTCGCCCACTCATTCACTCAACCACACATACACACTGAGTAGTTCATGTACACAATCGCTCACTCATTCACTCACTCATCCACTCATTCACTCAACCACACATACACACGCAGTGGTTCATTTACACACTCGCTCACTCACATACAGTATGCGTGAGCGTTTATCTGTATGAGTGAGTGAGTGTATATCTGTATGAGTGAATGAGTGAGCGACTCACACTCCTGGGCGAAAAGGCAGGTGAGGGTGAGCACTACGGTGTGCCCACTATAGAGGTAGTCCCCACATAGAGTGTGCGCGCCCGTGAGGCTGAGTCCACCGCCCGCGATCAGCTTCATCACGCGCCTCATCTGCAGCTCCACGTCGCCCAGCACCTAGGCGCATACACAATTACAGAGATTCAGTCACTCACTCATTCCCTGACCCACTCCAGCACACAGTCAGCCAGTCAGCCACTCATGCGCTCACTCACCCACTCACCAAGCAAGTCACCAACTCACTCACGCACTCAGTCACACACCCACTCACTCAGCCAGTCACCCACCTACTCACCCACTATATCACCATCTCAATCACTCACTCAGCCACTCAATCACTCACTAACTCACTCACCCATCCGCTCACTCAGCCAGTCACCCACCCACTCACTCAACCACTGACTCACTCACTCAACCACTCATCTATCCACTCTCTCACAAAGCCAGCCACCCATTCATTCACGCATTGTCACTCACCCACTCACTTCGTCACCCACTAATTTACAAACTCACTCACTGACTCACAGCTAGTCACTCACTCACTCACTAAGCTAGTCACTCACCCACCCACTCAGCCAGTCATCCACCTACTCAGCCACCCACTCACTCAATTACCCTCTCAATTATTCACTCAGCCACTCAATCACTCACTCACCCACTCATTCATTCATTCAACCATTCAATCACTCACTCAGCCAGTTATCCACTCACTCACACCCTCAAGCACACACTCACTCAGCCAGTCAGCCACTCAGTCACTCACTCACCCACTCACCTCATCTACTCATTCACGCACTCAGTCACTCCCTCACCCTCTCAATCACTCACTCAACCAGAAACCCAATGACACTCACTCAACCAGTCACGCGCTCAGACACGCGCTCAATTACGCGCGCAGGCAAGCGCACAGTCACGCGCACAGTCACCCGCTCACCCACTCGCTCACTCAGCCAGTCACCCATTCACACACTCAGCCTGACACTTATACACTCACTCAGCCAGTCACCCATTCACACACTCAGCCTGACACTTATACACTCACTCAACCAGTCACCCACTCAGTCACCCGCTCAGTCACGCGTTCAGTCACGTGCTCAGTCACCCGCTCACCCACTCACTCACTCAGCCAGTCACTCATTCACACACTCAGCCACACACTCATCCACTCACTCAGCCAGTCACCCACCCGCTCACTCAGTTAGTCACCCACTCACTCCGCCAGACACCCACTCACTCAGCCAGTCACTCACCCACGCCGTCACTCACTCTCTCACTAACCAACTCGCTCACTCACCCCCAAAGGCAAAGATCCCCAATATAGCCTTAACAGACTGTTGGCAAGCACCTATGAAGGCCGGCACGGCACACGAGGGAGTGGGAAGCCAACACCATGCCCGGCCACCTTTGTATCCCCAGTGGTCATGTTTACACACCCCACCAGGTACTCATTTGAGGCGAGTCGACTAGGGGCTAAGGCCCAAGACCAGATCAGATAATCCCCACTGATGTTGGCCATGAACAGGAATCGAACTAAGCACTAACTGTTGCGCTACCGCTCCCCACTCAGTGGTGAGGTGAGTGCTTATGTGAGTGGTGGTATGAGTGAGTGGTAAGGTGAGTGTGTGGGCGAGTGTGTGAGTGGGTGAGTGAGTAGGTGAGTGTGCGAGTGGGCGAGTGTGTGTGGGTGTGTGTAGGTGTGTATGAGTAGGTGAGTAGGTGAGCATGTGAGTGAGCGTGTGAGTGAGCGTGTGAGTGGGTGAGTGTGTGAATGCGTGCGTGCTCGCTAACAGCACTTGCCCCAACAGTCTGTTAAGGCTATACGGGGGGATCATCTTTGTCTTTGTGGGCGAGTGCTTGAGTGTGAGCGTGTGTGGGTGTGTGGGTGAGTGGCTGAGTGGCTGAGTGAGCGAGTGGCAAGGTGACACACCTTTGGGCTGCAGTGGAAGTGCCGTCCAGGCACGGGTAGGGTGGTGATGTACATGGTGACGCAGCGGTACAGGTACAGCGTGCCGATAATAAAGAAGTAGCGACGGCCGATGATAGACCTCAAACGCACGCAGAAACACAAAGACCACCACCCCCTATATAACCAGTCATCTCACAGATTAATCTTGGAACAATAACAGATACCAATGAGGCAGTTTCCATACTATCACGTTGTCTTGCTGCGACAATTTTAACTTGCGTACTTTATTTATTCAAGGGATGCCATGGTGGCTAAGATATGTTGTCTTCCACCTCTGGTTTGCAGGAGGTCGTGGGATGGATCCTAAACCCTGACAATGCCTGTTGTATATTTGGAGTCTGCATCTTTCTCCCCGTGGTCACGTGGATTTTTCTCCGGGCCCTCCAGTTTTACCCCTCCACATTTAGAATCAACGTCTGTACGAGTTTAGAATATTGGCTACTGCTATATATCTCCACGTGATAAGCCACTACACTGAGCTATCATTTGTGGCCATGTTGCGTCTTAAAAAGAGCTACATAGCTCAGTGGGCCTTACCTCGTAAAATAAAAAAGAGTTCAGTTTATAGTTTATAGCCTCACCAGACTGTACGGATAAGTGATTTAGCAAGTAGCAGCACCTATGAACGCCAGCACTCTGGCACACAAGGGGGTGGGTGGCCAGCACCACGCCCGGCCGCCTTTGTTTCCCCAGTGGTGATGTCTACACATCACCCCGTGGTACTCATTTGAAGCCAAGTCGACCTAGGGGAGGACCAGGTACAGGTTCAAATAATCATCACCAGTGGTGTTGGTGGTGGTAGCCATGAGTGGGATCGAATTCAGGTCGCCGAGTTCGAAGAGCAGTGTGAACCACTACACTACCGCTCCTCACTCAGAAACACACACGGGCACTGCCCAGTTATTGTGTAGGAGTCTATAGTGTAGTCTATAGAGTACTCGTATGTGAGACAGGCCCACTGCGTATGTAGTTTATAGTGTAGTCTATAGCGTAGTAGTCTATAGTGTAGCAGTCTATCAGTATACCTGTGGGTGAAACAGGCCCACTGCATGAACCACATGGAGACTACCCCTCCTCACTCGCCGATGATCTCGCAGACAGAGAAGGCCCACTCCACATGGTTTATAGTGTAGTAGTCTATAGTGTAGTCTAAAGTAGTCTAGAGCGCAGTAGTCTATCGCGCAGTAGTCTGTAGGGCAGCCTCCTCAGCCTATCCACCGCATCCAGCATCATCTCCAGCCATCCAGACACAGTCTTGCCACTGGATACAGATGAGCTTGGGACGAGAAAGTGAGGTCGAAGCTGCGAAACTCTCCCCCAACTTAAATAAAAATGGAAATCACAAGTAATGACATCATCATCATCCAAAGTCCCTTGGCGAGGGGCGAGCGATGAAGCAACAGGTGTGGATGCACTGTGAGCTGTAGCCGTGGACCCACACAAGAGCAGCTCAGGTTATCGGGTCGCATTTCACTCGACTGAAGCGGCAGCAGAACTCGGCATCAGCCCTTAGCGTCTGAGCAGCCCCATTCAGGATCACACCGCTCACCTCCCCAGCACGAGGGAGCGGCTAGAAAAGGTGCCCGATTCATTGTCTGCTTCACGTTACCCTGGCCAGCCCACCACAACTGAAAGGGATCCCACCTCAGTGGTCGAACAAAAAAAAATGTAAAGTGACACCACCACTTAATATTGGTTCTTGGAATGTGCGCACACTTATGGACACAGCTGGCCCAAACAGACCTGAACATGCCAAATACAAAATTGACATTGCCGCCCTAAGTGAGACCCGGCTAGCTGACACAGGACAGATTGCAGAAGTTGGAGCCAGCTATACCTAGCTTCTTTTGTAGTGGGCGTGGAAAAAGAGGAGAGATGCGACGTTGGTGTTGGTTTTGCAGTAAAATCTAACCTGCTCAACCGACTTTCAAGCTTGCCCAAGGGTATAAACGCCCGTTTGATGACCCTGAAGCTCCAACTACCAGGCAAAACGCAGGTCACCATCATCAGTGCCGGATGCACCAACCGTGACTAACCCTGATGAGGTCAAAAACAAGTTCTCACCAGACCTGGAGACTGCAATTGCTGCTGTACCCAGCAAAGAGAAACGCATCGATCTCAGCGACTTCAGTGCCCGAGTTGGAACTGACCATCAGTTACGGAATGGGATCATAGATGCACGTGGTTTTGGCAAACGCAACAGCAATGGCCTTTTGCTACGAAGGACACGTGCTGTGCAATGACCCACTGATCCCAAACAATTTCTTCTACCAAACCGCAAGAACACACAACATGAATGCACCTATGGCCAAAACATTGGCGCTTGATTGACTCTGTACGTCAGGAGGAGAGAGACAGGCATGACGTCTAAGTGACAAAGACCATGTGCGGTGCAGAATGCTGGACAGATCAGACGCAATTATCTCTAAGCTCAACGTGCGGATCAAACCTCCCAGACGTCCACAATGCCAACAATCTTCTAAGCACCTCAACATCTCTCGGCTGAAAAAGGAGAGCATCCTGCAGAACTTTGCTGAAGCCCCAGACCACTGCTCGGAGTCCCTAAGTATTTGACTCTGGTGATGCCGAGGCCGATAGGACAGCTCTCAAGAAATCTGCTGCACTCGACGGTGCTTGCAACAGTTGGTGCTGCCACAACGAAACACCAACACTGGTTCAGTTGAATTGACGCAGAGATTCAGGCACTCCTTGATGAGAAACATCGCCTGCACAGAGCCTGCCTGAATGGCAGCAGCGCGGAGTCCAATAAAACCGCATTTCTCAACATCCGCAGGACTGTCCAGCTCCAGCTTAGAGCTATGCATGACGCTTGGCTCAGTCAGAAAGTAGAGGAGATACAATCATATGCCAACAGCAACAACACAAAGCGATGTACTCGAATCAAGTCTATGGCCCACAACCCCCAGGAACCTCACCTATCCTGAGTGCAGATGGAACCACACTTGCTTACAGAAAGACAAAAAATCCTTGGCAGATGGGCCAAACACAACTCAGTCCTCAATCAGCCTTCATCCCTAAATAAAGACGTGTTCAAGAGTCTGCCTCACGTTGAAATGAACCTGTCACTTGCAGATCCACCCACTTTGAAGGAAACCAAAAAAAAGCCATCAGTCTCCTCTCATCGGGAAAAGCTGAGCTGATGCAATACCAGCGGAAGTCTACAAGGCAGGAGGGCCTTCGTTGGTTGAGAAGCTAACCAACCTCTTCCAGTCATTGTGGAGACAAGAAGCTGTCTCTCAGGAGTTCAAGGATAACTCGATTATCCACCTCTACACGAGCAAGGGCAATCGCCAAGCCTTTGATAATCAGAAGCATTTCCTTGCTGTCAATGGTGGGGAAATCTTTTCAAGAATCCTCCTAAATAATCTAACAGAAAACCTAGACCAACGCCTGCTGCCCAAGAGCCAGTGTGGCTTCAGAACAAGCCGTGGAACCACTAACATGGTGTTTGCAGCCCGTCAACTCCAAAGAAAAATGCCAAGAGCAAAGCTCTGACCTGTAACTGACCTCTGTCAACCTGAGAAAGGCTTTCGACACAGTCAGCCACAAGAGCCTCTAGAAGATCACAGCGAAGATTCGATGCCCAGACAAATATATCACCGTGATGCGGCAGTTGAACGATGACATGAAGGCAAGTGTGCAAGATCACCAAGAGTCCTCTGAACAGTTTTCAGTCACAAATGGAGTGAAGCAAGGCGTTGTTCTAGCATCAACCCTGTTCAGCACGATGTTCTCCACCACACTGCAAGATGCCTCCCCAAATGACCACACTGGGATCCGCTTCATCTACCTCTATGACGGGTGCTGTTCAACCTGTAAAGGATGCAAGCCAAAACAAAGGTGCAGGAGGTGACTATTCGAGACCTTTTGTTCGCCGATGATTGCGTACTAGCTGCCGGCGCGCATGCCAACCTGCAGGCCCTCAAAGACTAGTTCTCAGCTGCATACGACAACTTCGACCTCACAATCAGCACAAAGAAGACTGGAGTAAACGTAACAACCTGCCCCCGGTAATCCTTACGTGGACCCAACCATCTCTGTGAAAGGTCAGAAACAACTGTAGAAAAATTAACCTACCTTTGGGACCACTCTGTCACGTGCTGTTCACATTCATGATGAAATAAACAAGGATCACCAAGGCTAGTGCAGACTTTGGCCATCTGCGAGATTCCGTGTGGAAAAGGACAGTCATCAAGCTGGCCACCAAACTGAAGGTTTACCAGGCAGTCATACCAACGACATGCCAGGAAACTCAATCACTTTCACCTAAACTGCTTGAGGAAACTCCTGAGGATCAAGTGGCAGGACAGAAACCCAAACAATGAAGTCCTCAGCCGTGCTGACATGCTGAGCATTCCCACACACCTTATGAAGCACAGCTCAGATGGGCCGGCCATGTGACCAGGATGCCTGCCACCCGTCTCCCGAAGCGGATCTTCTTTGGAGAGCTGAAGAATGGGAAGCGAGCACAAGGTAGGCCGAAAAAACGCTTCAAAGACACCCTGAAGGTCTCCCTCAAGAGCTTTAACATAGATCAAAAGTCATGAGCAAAGCCTTGCTCATGATCGTCCGACCTGGCGAAACCTCGCCTGGGATGGTGCTACCACCTCTACAATAAGCAGGACCTAAGATGCCACGGTGAAGAGACAACAGCGCAAGACGCGTATCAAGGGACCTGTCCCCCAGCAGGCTACTACCAACATATCATGCCCAGTGTCCTACAGAGTGTCCTGGGCTCAGATTGGCCTCTCCAGCCATCCGCGCACTCACTGTACCCCAGACTCATCCCAATGAAGCGTGTCATGGTCACCATCAACCTTTGATGGACGAACAAGGAGACCTGTGGGTGAGGCAGGCCCACTGCGTGAACCACATGAAGACTAGGATGACACTGTTGATATCACAGACAGAGAAGGCCGACTACACGCAGTCTATAGTATATTAGTCTAGAGTGTGTGTAGTAGTCTATAGTGTAGTCTATTGTGTAGGAGTCTATAAATCTTGACTTAAAAGCTTTCGTGATCGCAGGAATTCATATTCTTTGGGTCTTTCGGTAAAGTCACATAGATAGGTTCAAAGAAAATAACAAAAAACTAGGACGTTTCAATCGCAACACAAGCGGTCGTCTTCAGGCAACGCCTTTGCCCCAAAGAATAGGAGTCTATAGTTTAGTCTATCGTGTAGTAGTCTATTGTGCAGTAGTCTATAGTGTGGTAGTTTAAATTGTAGGAGGCTATAGTGTAGGAGGCTATAGTGTAGGAGTCTATTGTGTAGTAGTCTATCGTGTATGAGTCTATAGTGTACCCATGGGTGAGAGAGGCCCACTGTATGAACCACATGGAGACCAGTATGACACCGTTGATCTCGAAGACAGAGAAGGCCAACTCCACATGGTCTATTTTATAGTAATCTATAGTAGTCTAGTGTACCTGTGGGTGAGACACGCCCACTGTATGAACCACATGGAGACCAGGATGACGCCGTTGATCTCGCAGACAGAGAATGCCCACTTCACACGGTCGACGCGGTCAAAGAAGACATCGGGCAGCGGAGGGGACACCTCCTGGGGGACAGCGAGAGAAAGAGCGAGCTATTTACTCGCCGACTCACCATTTAGTCGCTGACTCACCATTCACTCGCCGACTCACCACCAGCAACATACTCACCATCCAAAACCAACATCCGCCATTCGCCACTAAGTGGCGGTGGTGTCACCAGGGCACCTGTGCCAGATCAGGTGCACTTTTGAGGCCACGTGACGTGTCGAAGGCTCGCTGCTGACAGGAGGTGGTCGCGGGACAGACCCATCAGGTGCCACGGGCTAACTGACTGAGATGAGTGGCCGATGCACTAGCTGCGTCCCCTGCTGTGCCAACTTGCTGTGTTTTAGCTGCCCTGCGTTCTGCTCATTGTTGTAAGCGTCACTCTTCTGCCTTCCGTTGTTGTTGGAGGCTATGAGTGTGTGAGGTGCCAGGCTATGAGTGCGAGTACGTGGGGTGTCAGGCTATGAGTGTGTGGGGTGTCAGGCTATGAGCGAGTGTGTTGGGTGCCAGGCTATGAGCGAGTGTGTGGGGTGCCAGGCTATGAGTGAGTGTGTGGGGTGCCAGGCTATGAGTGAGTGTGTGGGGTGCCAGGCTATGAGTGAGTGTGTGGGGTGCCAGGCTATGAGTGAGTGTGTGGGGTGCCAGGCAATGAGTCAGTGTGTGGGGTGCCAGGCTATGAGTGTGTGGGGTGCCAGGCTATGAGTGAGTGTGTGGGGTGTCAGGCTATGAGTGTGTGGGGTGCCAGGCTATGAGTGAGTGTGTGGGGTGCCAGGCTATGAGTGAGTGTGTGGGGTGTCAGGCTATGAGCGAGTGTGTGGGGTGCCAGGCTATGAGCGAGTGTGTGGGGTGTCAGGCTATGAGCGAGTGTGTGGGGTGCCAGGCTATGAGCGAGTGTGTGGGGTGCCAGGCTATGAGTGAGTGTGTGGGGTGTCAGGCTATGAGCGAGTGTGTGGGGTGCCAGGCTATGAGCGAGTGTGTGGGGTGCCAGGCTATGAGTGAGTGTGTGGGGTGCCAGGCTATGAGTGAGTGTGTGGGGTGCCAGGCTATGAGTGAGTGTGTGGGGTGCCAGGCTATGAGTGAGTGTGTGGGGTGCCAGGCAATGAGTCAGTGTGTGGGGTGCCAGGCTATGAGTGTGTGGGGTGCCAGGCTATGAGTGAGTGTGTGGGGTGTCAGGCTATGAGTGTGTGGGGTGCCAGGCTATGAGTGAGTGTGTGGGGTGCCAGGCTATGAGTGAGTGTGTGGGGTGTCAGGCTATGAGTGAGTGTGTGGGGTGTCAGGCTATGAGTGAGTGTGTGGGGTGCCAGGTCATGAGTCAGTGTGTGGGGTGCCAGGCTATGAGTGAGTGTGTGGGGTGCCAGGTCATGAGTCAGTGTGTGGGGTGCCAGGCTATGAGTGTGTGGGGTGCCAGGCTATGAGTGAGTGTGTGGGGTGCCAGGCTATGAGTGAGTGTGTGGGGTGCCAGGCTATGAGCGAGTGTGTGGGGTGCCAGGCTATGAGTGAGTGTGTGGGGTGTCAGGCTATGAGTGTGTGGGGTGTCAGGCTATGAGCGAGTGTGTGGGGTGTCAGGCTATGAGTGAGTGTGTGGGGTGCCAGGTCATGAGCGAGTGTGTGGGGTGCCAGGCTATGAGTGAGTGTGTGGGGTGCCAGGCTATGAGTGAGTGTGTGGGGTGTCAGGCTATGAGTGAGTGTGTGGGGTGCCAGGTCATGAGTGAGTGTGTGGGGTGCCAGGCTATGAGTGAGTGTGTGGGGTGCCAGGTCATGAGTGAGTGAGTGGGGTGCCAGGCTATGAGTGAGTGTGTGGGGTGTCAGGCTATGAGTGAGTGTGTGGGGTGTCAGGCTATGAGTGAGTGTGTGGGGTGTCAGGCTATGAGCGAGTGTGTGGGGTGCCAGGCTATGAGTGAGTGTGTGGGGTGCCAGGCTATGAGTGAGTGTGTGAGGTGCCAGGCTATGAGTGAGTGTGTGGGGTGCCAGGCTATGAGTGAGTGTGTGGGGTGCCAGGCTATGAGTGAGTGTGTGGGGTGCCAGGCTATGAGTGTGTGGGGTGCCAGGCTATGAGTGAGTGTGTGGGGTGCCAGGCTATGAGTGTGTGGGGTGCCAGGCTATGAGTGAGTGTGTGGGGTGCCAGGCTATGAGTGAGTGTGTGGGGTGCCAGGCTATGAGTGTGTGGGGTGCCAGGCTATGAGCGAGTGTGTGGGGTGTCAGGCTATGAGTGTGTGGGGTGCCAGGCTATGAGTGAGTGTGTGGGGTGCCAGGCTATGAGTGAGTGTGTGGGGTGCCAGGCTATGAGTGAGTGTGTGGGGTGCCAGGCTATGAGTGAGTGGGGTGCCAGGCTATGAGTGAGTGTGTGGGGTGCCAGGCTATGAGTGAGTGTGTGGGGTGTCAGGCTATGAGTGAGTGGGGGTGTCAGGCTATGAGTGAGTGTGTGGGGTGTCAGGCTATGAGTGAGTGTGTGGGGTGTCAGGCTATGAGTGAGTGGGGTGTCAGGCTATGAGTGAGTGTGTGGGGTGTCAGGTCATGAGTGAGTGTGTGGGGTGTCAGGCTATGAGTGAGTGTGTGGGGTGCCAGGCTATGAGTGAGTGTGTGAGGTGCCAGGCTATGAGTGAGTGTGTGGGGTGCCAGGCTATGAGTGAGTGTGTGGGGTGCCAGGCTATGAGTGAGTGTGTGGGGTGCCAGGCTATGAGTGTGTGGGGTGCCAGGCTATGAGTGAGTGTGTGGGGTGCCAGGCTATGAGCGAGTGTGTGGGGTGTCAGGCTATGAGTGTGTGGGGTGCCAGGCTATGAGTGAGTGTGTGGGGTGCCAGGCTATGAGTGAGTGTGTGGGGTGCCAGGCTATGAGTGAGTGTGTGGGGTGCCAGGCTATGAGTGAGTGGGGTGCCAGGCTATGAGTGAGTGTGTGGGGTGCCAGGCTATGAGTGAGTGTGTGGGGTGTCAGGCTATGAGTGAGTGGGGTGTCAGGCTATGAGTGAGTGTGTGGGGTGTCAGGCTATGAGTGAGTGTGTGGGGTGTCAGGCTATGAGTGAGTGGGGTGTCAGGCTATGAGTGAGTGTGTGGGGTGTCAGGTCATGAGTGAGTGTGTGGGGTGTCAGGCTATGAGTGAGTGTGTGGGGTGCCAGGCTATGAGTGAGTGTGTGGGGTGCCAGGCTATGAGTGAGTGTGTGGAGTGTCAGGCTATGAGTGTGTGAGGTGTCAGGCTATGAGTGAGTGTGTGGGGTGCCAGGCTATGAGTGAGTGAGTGGGGTGTCAGGCTATGAGTGAGTGTGTGGGGTGCCAGGCTATGAGTGTGTGGGGTGTCAGGTCATGAGTGAGTGTGTGGGGTGTCAGGCTATGAGTGTGTGGGGTGCCAGGCTATGAGTGAGTGTGTGGGGTGCCAGGCTATGAGTGAGTGTGTGGGGTGTCAGGCTATGAGTGAGTGAGTGGGGTGTCAGGCTATGAGTGAGTGTGTGGGGTGCCAGGCTATGAGTGAGTGTGTGGGGTGTCAGGCTATGAGTGTGTGGGGTGTCAGGCTATGAGTGTGTGGGGTGTCAGGTCATGAGTGAGTGTGTGGGGTGCCAGGCTATGAGTGAGTGTGTGGGGTGCCAGGCTATGAGTGAGTGTGTGGGGTGCCAGGCTATGAGTGAGTGTGTGGGGTGCCAGGTCATGAGTGAGTGTGTGGGGTGCCAGGCTATGAGTGAGTGTGTGGGGTGCCAGGCTATGAGTGAGTGTGTGGGGTGCCAGGCTATGAGTGAGTGTGTGGGGTGTCAGGCTATGAGTGAGTGTGTGGGGTGCCAGGTCATGAGTGAGCGTGTGGGGTGCCAGGCTATGAGTGAGTGTGTGGGGTGCCAGGTCATGAGTCAGTGTGTGGGGTGCCAGGCTATGAGTGTGTGGGGTGCCAGGCTATGAGTGAGTGTGTGGGGTGCCAGGCTATGAGTGAGTGTGTGGGGTGCCAGGCTATGAGTGAGTGTGTGGGGTGCCAGGCTATGAGTGAGTGTGTGGGGTGTCAGGCTATGAGCGAGTGTGTGGGGTGCCAGGCTATGAGTGAGTGTGTGGGGTGTCAGGTCATGAGTGAGTGTGTGGGGTGTCAGGCTATGAGTGTGTGGGGTGTCAGGCTATGAGCGAGTGTGTGGGGTGTCAGGCTATGAGTGAGTGTGTGGGGTACCAGGCTATGAGTGAGTGTGTGGGGTGTCAGGCTATGAGCGAGTGAGTGGGGTGCCAGGCTATGAGTGTGTGGGGTGCCAGGCTATGAGTGAGTGTGTGGGGTGCCAGGCTATGAGTGAGTGGGGTGCCAGGCTATGAGTGAGTGGGGTGCCAGGCTATGAGTGAGTGGGGTGCCAGGCTATGAGTGTGTGTGTGGGGTGCCAGGTCATGAGCGAGTGTGTGGGGTGCCAGGCTATGAGCGAGTGTGTGGGGTGTCAGGCTATGAGTGTGTGGGGTGCCAGGCTATGAGTGAGTGTGTGGGGTGCCAGGCTATGAGCGAGTGTGTGGGGTGCCAGGCTATGAGCGAGTGTGTGGGGTGTCAGGCTATGAGTGTGTGGGGTGCCAGGCTATGAGTGAGTGTGTGGGGTGCCAGGCTATGAGTGAGTGTGTGGGGTGTCAGGCTATGAGTGAGTGTGTGGGGTGTCAGGCTATGAGCGAGTGTGTGGGGTGCCAGGCTATGAGTGAGTGTGTGGGGTGCCAGGTCATGAGTGAGTGTGTGGGGTGCCAGGCTATGAGCGAGTGTGTGGGGTGCCAGGCTATGAGTGAGTGTGTGGGGTGTCAGGCTATGAGTGAGTGTGTGGGGTGCCAGGCTATGAGCGAGTGTGTGGGGTACCAGGTCATGAGTGAGTGTGTGGGGTGCCAGGCTATGAGTGAGTGTGTGGGGTGCCAGGCTATGAGCGAGTGAGTGGGGTGCCAGGCTATGAGCGAGTGTGTGGGGTGCCAGGCTATGAGTGAGTGTGTGGGGTGTCAGGCTATGAGTGAGTGTGTGGGGTGTCAGGCTATGAGTGAGTGTGTGGGGTACCAGGTCATGAGTGAGTGTGTGGGGTGCCAGGCTATGAGTGAGTGTGTGGGGTGTCAGGCTATGAGTGAGTGTGTGGGGTGCCAGGCTATGAGTGAGTGTGTGGGGTGCCAGGCTATGAGTGAGTGTGTGGGGTGCCAGGCTATGAGTGAGTGTGTGGGGTGTCAGGCTATGAGCGAGTGTGTGGGGTGTCAGGCTATGAGCGAGTGTGTGGGGTGCCAGGCTATGAGCGATTGTGTGGGGTGCCAGGCTATGAGTGAGTGTGTGGGGTGTCAGGCTATGAGTGAGTGTGTGGGGTGTCAGGCTATGAGTGAGTGTGTGGGGTGTCAGGCTATGAGCGAGTGTGTGGGGTGCCAGGCTATGAGTGAGTGTGTGGGGTGCCAGGCTATGAGTGTGTGGGGTGCCAGGCTATGAGTGAGTGTGTGGGGTGCCAGGCTATGAGTGAGTGTGTGGGGTGTCAGGCTATGAGTGAGTGTGTGGGGTGCCAGGCTATGTGCGAGTGTGTGGGGTGCCAGGCTATGTGCACGAGCCCCCCACCATGTCCGGCACGCGCTCGTGCACTACGGCGATGGCCACGCTGGTGGCCACGAGCGCGGACACGGCGTAGACGAAGGCAGCTGCCGTCTTCCTCCACTCGGGGGGCAGCGTGGAGCCCGCGGGGGGTCCCCCGCCCCCCCCTGCTCCTCCCACCACAGAGAGTGGGAGCAGGAGGGGGGGGCCCCCGGGGGCCGGGGGAGGCGAGGGGGGGGGCCCCCCGGGGGCTCCGTGATGGAGGGCCGCGGGGTCGCAGGGCGAAGGAGAAGGCAGCGAGAGGTCGGCGACGAAGTCGGCGGAGACGCGGGAGCTGTGTGGGCGACGTCATTGTCATCAGCATCGTTATCATCGTCATAGTGATCATCATAGTGATCCTCGTCAACAGCATCGTCGTCAACAGCATCGTCATCGGAATAGTCGTCATGGTTATAATCAGCATCGTTGTCATAGTGATCATGGTCATCATCAGCACTGTCATCAGAATCGTCATTATCGACACCATCATCAGCATCGTCGTCACCATTGTCATTATTAGCGGTCATCAGCAAAGTCAGCATCGTCAGTATCATTGTCAGCAGCGTCATCATCAGCATTCTTATAATCATCATCAACATCGTGATCAACATCGTTGTCATCATCGTCAACATCGTCGTCATCAGCATTAGACGAGGGAGATAATATCTCACCATCATATATCTATCTCTGTGCGAGTTTGTTTGTCTGTGTGTCTCTGTGCAAGTCTGGGCAAGCATGCGAGTCTCGTTGTGAGTCTCATCTCACCTTCTCACTCCGTGTTCCCCTCTGCCTCCTCCTTTCATCCCATTGCGGTGCCCGTCCATTGTGACCTGCACAGGGATCACTGCTCCCGGTCACTCAACACTCACTCATACACACACTCACTCATTCTCACTTATACACACACTCACTCATTCTCACTTATACACACACTCACTTATACACTCACTCATATAACAACAACAACAACCGCTATTCGCCACTAAGTGGCGGTGACGTCACCACGACGCTTGTGCCAGGCTATGTGCACCTTGAGGCCGCGTGAAGTGTCGAACGCCCGCTGGCAGGAGGTGAAGGGGCAGACTCAAGTGCCACGGGTCGACTGACTGAGATGAGTGGCTGATGCACCACCTGTGCCCCCTACTGTGCCAACCTGCTGTGCTTTAGCCACCCGGCGCTCCGCTCGTTGTTGTGAACGTCGCTCTTCCACCCTCCATTGTTGGAGGGCGACTGCCTCCAACTGCCCAGTAGCGTCCTTCATGAGCCTCCTCCACAGAGGCCGATCTTGACACCGCTGGTACCAGTCATCGGCAAGTCCGCTCAGCTCCACGTTCTCCTGTACCACATCACTCCATCTCTTCTCTAGCCCGTGCCGTGCATGTTTAGCCCCCTCAATCCGGTTGCTTTGGCATATGGTGGCTGGGCATGCAGGCTCCATGACCCATCCAATGCAGCCTTGCCTGCCGGAGGAGTTCGCTGATGGGAAATGTGTCCAGATCATTCAAGGATTTGTGAGCTCCTGATCCGGAGTGACACCTCTGCTGTCAAACCAGAATTGGTCATGAGCACACTGCCCAGGTATGGAAACCTCTCCACTCTCTCCACAACTGCCCCATTATTCACAGGGAGTTGAGTGTTTCACGACACGAAATAAACACGCAGGTGCCTGCTAACTTTCGTGGGGTTGATGGTAACATCCCGACACATCGAGTTCGTCTTTGATACTTCCCCAACAGATGTTACCTCAGCCAGCTATGTACGAGAGATAGCTACTTCCTCTAAAATCAAGGAACTCGCTCACTCATTTTCCCACTCACTCATCCACTTACACACTCACTCATCCACTCACCCACTCATCTACTCACTCACCCACCCACTCACTCACCTACCCACTCGCCCACTCACCCGCCCACTCACCCACTCACCAGCCCACTCACTCAATCCCCCACTCAAATCTGTCGTGTTCACGACTCGTAAACCTATACAGATTGAATCTTGACTTAAAAGCTTTCGCGACTGCAGGAATTCATATTTTTTTGGGTCTTTCGGTGAAGTCACGTAGATAGGTTCAAATTAATAAAAATAAAATAAACAAAAACTACGTTTCGATAACACAAGCGATCGTCATCAGGAGGAAAACAGAGTGGAGAAGCTGATAACATATCCGCACTACGCCCTATAATCACATATACCTATACCGACTACATATTCTAAACACAATGCGTGGCAATGTCTATCTGAACTAGATATTTAAATTCGGCACTTGCGCTGAGCCCTTATACTTATATGCACTACGTTAAAGCTACGTGTACCAAAGCAAACCATACATTATAATTGCACATTCTAATTTAGTCTACCTATTAAAATCGGACTTGTAATTTATAACGTATATACGTAATAAATTACAATCGCTTATACTTATGATAATGATGATTGCGAACCGCATTCGCAATGCCGCCGTGCTCAGGCGCCCCACCGCCGGGGAGTGCACTAGACAAGGCCGAGGCTTCGGCCTAAACCCCTCGGTCTCCTTTGGAGCCCGACAACCGCGGGGAGCCCGGGGGACATTCGGAGAGCGAAGCTACAGATGGAGCCGCCGCGGCAGCGAGACGTTGAAGCGCGAAGGAAGAAAGCCCCCTGAGGGTGGCAGACAGAGGGGAAACGGCGGAAGAAGCACACCGAGGAGAGAGCCACCCACCTCCACCAACCACCGGGGCCCCCAAACTCTCAATGCAAAGCGAAGGCCCCCTCGCAAGACGCCTCCCTGGGAATCGATTCCATGTGCGGGTTGAGCGCCTACGATTCCGTGACTCGCGGATCGATTCTCTTCCTGCTCCGACTTATTTTCGTAGCGCGTGGTTCAGAGTTCATAAATTTTGATTTAAAGCTTTCGTGACCGCAGTAATTCTTATTCTTAGCTCTTTCGGTAAAGTCACGTTGAAGGGAAACAATAAAATAATAAAATATATATAAAACAATAAAAAATTCGCACGACGTTTCGACCATAACACAAACGGTCGTCATCAGGTGTGGTCGAAACGTCGTGAGAATTTTTATTGTTTTATATATTTTTTTATTATTTTATTGTTTCCCTTCAACGTGACTTTACCGAAAGAGCTAAGAATATCATAGTTTCATTTATGTTGGTATAGCCCTGTGAGCCATTCGGCTCTTGAATCGGGTGCAACCGCAACAAACAAACAACACGAACAAGAAAACATCTTCTTTGGTTCTTTCGGTAAAGTCACGTAGAATGATAATAAAATAATAAATTGATAAAATAAAATAACACAATAATATTCTCACGACGTTTCGGCCACAACACAAACGTCGTGAGAATATTATTGTGTTATTTTATTTTATCAATTTATTATTTTATTATCATTCTACGTGACTTTACCGAAAGAACCAAAGAAGATGAATCATTGCAGTCACGAAAGCTTTAAATCGAAAAAGAAAACATCTTAAAGTGACTTTGTGTGACTGTGCAAACAGAAAATCCATGGGAGGAAAAAAAACATCAAAAATATTCCTGAAATAGCACCTTAGGAGAGGCACACGACTTGTTCAAATGTTCGCCACTGAATTGAACTCAGGTCCGCTCGGTATGCAGCGCAGTGGTGATGGATGCCAAGGACGGCCTCCGTGTATTATCATCTTGTGCTAATTCCAAGCGTTGTTAGTGGTGTGTTTTAGGCTAATTTCCTTTGCCAAGGCGTTTTCTGTTTACCCCCCTCACAGCTTAAGAAAGGAGGCGACCTGCGCTTGGCTTTCTTCAAGCTCGTCATTCTCCGTCGTGCTAATCCCTCATACTAACATCATGCCAATCCCCCAGTTACATGCTTATTTACTGTTGATATGTAAACTGCTGCTAATCCTAGATTTAAAGCTTTCGTGACTGCTAGGATCCATACTCTTTGGTTCTATTGGGTAAAGTCACTCCAGCGCTGTCCTCCAGACAGTCTCGTCCCTTCACCTGATGAAGGCCGCTTGTGTTGTGGCCGAAACGTCGTGATTTTTTGTTATTTTATTTTCACCTACGTGACTTTACCCAATAGAACCAAAGAGTATGCTGCTAATCCCTCACACCAGCATCATGCCAATCCCCCAGTTACATGCTACTTTATATGTTAACTCCTTTGTCAAGACGCTCTGTTCCTCCCACACAGCTTAAAAGACGAGGCCCATGCTTGGCAGTGTTCACTCAAGCGCTGTCTTCTGGACAGTCCTGTTTCTTCACCTGATGAAGGCTACTTGTGTTGTGGCCGAAACGTCGTGATTTTTCTTTTATTTTTACCTACGTGACTTTACCGAATAGAACCAAAGAGTATGGATCCTTGCAGTCACGAAAGCTTCAAATCTAGAAAATAAATATTTAACAAGAACTTTTTTTTTAAAACACGCCTTAACGAAATGTACTGTTAATGGAAGAACTCCACGACTCTAGGAAGTGGCCCCGAAGCTTGCCATAACGTAAAGGGACCGTGGTGATTTTACAGCCAACGTGAGGTGAGCGTGGACAATTAGACCCAAGCCGAAACACAACATATGAAAAATTATGTTTAAAAATATATATTTTTTCAATGATAGAATGCAGTATTGTCATCAGCATGACATCAGTATACCAAGCTTGCAGTCGATACCACATTGGGAAGTGGGTTAAAATTGAGTTACAAGATTTGAGGATACGGCAACAGACAGAGTGAGTTCATAGAAAGCATGTAAAAACATTGTTTACAATTTTTATGTTTAATGATAGAATACAGTATTGTCATCAGCATGACATGAGTATACCAAGCTTGCAGTCGATACCACATTGGGAAGTGGGTTAAAATTGAGTTACAAGATTTGAGGATACGGCAACAGACAGAGTGAGTTCATAGAAAGCGTGTAAAAACATTGTTTACAATTTTTAATGATAGAATATAGTAGTGTCATCAGTAAGACATAAGTATACCAAGCTTGCAGTCGATATAACATTGGAAGTGGGTTAAAGTTGAGTTACAAGATTTGAGGATACGGCAACAGAGTGAGTTCATAGAAAGCGTGTAAAAACATTGTTTACAATTTTTAATGATAGAATGTAGTATTGTCATCAGTAAGACATAAGTATACCAAGCTTGCAGTCGATACAACATTGGAAGTGAGTTAAAGTTGAGTTACAAGATTTGAGGATACGACAACAACAGACAGTGAGTTCATAGAAAGCGTGTAAAAACATTGTTTACAATTTTTATTTTTTAATGATAGAATAGAGTATTGTCATCAGTATGACATGAGTATACCAAGCTTGCAGTCGATACATTGGGAAGTGGGTTAAAATTGAGTTACAAGATTTGAGGATACGACAACAACAGACAGAGTGAGTCCATAGAAAGTGACTCAAAATCGCGTAAAGTTAAAGGTAGAATGTTCCTAGACTAAATAATGGATAATGGTTGGGGTTAGGGAGAGCACGCTATCGAACCTCATTGCCATGTCATCCCCCAATCAGTGCCCAACCTTATTTCAGACCAATTCAGACCGTATTGGTCACCACGTGCGCTTGTAAATTCTCAATTCTCAGAAGCACAAACAAAATAAGATTGTTGTTGTTACCCGGATTGAAACGGTTGTACGCCGTATGGACTTGGAAACTCGATTTCCCTGTACAAGAATACGGGGTAAACCGTATGGGTTGACACGTCTGTCATTCTTACGTCCTACATATTTCACTGGGTACAGTAGCACACATTTATAATACTACCGTAACTTTACCGAAAGAACCAAAGAGTATGGATCCCTGCAGTCACTAAAACTTCAAATCTGGAGTAATCAGCCTATTTCAAGAAATAAAATACATTTAAGTAAAACCAAAATAATCTTGATTTTTATTTTTAAACACGTAGTGAGATGCTTACCGGACATTATGGGATATTTTTTTGCCACGATCCAAGATGGTGAAAAAATAAGAATAGGTTTTGCCCTTTCTTGCAATAGAACTGATGTTCAAATGTTTGTGCTTCACCTTTTAGCATCCTCTGGTCTAACACTGGTGCAGAGACACGGTCCTGCAGAAGTCAATCTCTGCTGTAGACCAATGAGTTTTAAAGCCAATGCATATATCAGAGCAGATTTGTTTGCATGTTTTGCCACGAGGATAAGGTTATGGTTAATGCAAACTTGTTGCTTTCAAAAGATATCTATTTAGTGCTTGAACATCTTAACACAACTCATGTTCTTTTTTTATCGTTACCGGATGTAGCCGGTGTGAGCTCATCCGTGATTACTCACTTGTGCACTCTGCTAACAGCTACGCGTCGCCAGGTGTGTTGTATGATTATTTAAGATCAACGGCAGAGATGATCAGAGGTTGGACCCCGAGCCCAAAAGTACGAGGCACACCCCAATAGAGACGTGGACTATCTTCTGGACCAAGGAATTTAGCTACGGTGTTGTGACGTGGAGGGTATCTCCGATCGCTATTGCGCATACCAAATTTGCCCTTCTGAAGAGGACCTTTGAAACCAATCTAGATTTGAAGTTTTCGTGACTGCAAGGGATCCATGCACTTTGGTTCTTTCGGTAAAGTCACGTTGGTATAAAACAAAATAAATGAAATCACGACGTCTGTCATCAGGTGGGACAACCACAGCAAGAAACAATTGCTGAAGTGGGCAAAAAGGGCTGCTGTTTTGAAACCAGTTTAGCCGTTTCACAAACCACCCCCTGGGTGTCCAGCCGTTGTTGAGTCGCTCACTTCTCCGGAGTACGTAACACAACGCAGAGTCACTCATCTTCTCTGAACTTTCATTTTTAGTGTTTATTCAGCCGACCTGTGTCTCTCCCCCCCCGACCCCGCCGCCCCCTCTCGCAGTGATTCACGACGGGAGGAGAGGGGACTTGGCGGACCGGCTCCACGAACATTAATGTTTGGCGAATGCGTGTGTGACACATGGTGTCAGTGAGAGTCGGGGGGGAAAAGCCCCCTATTACAATACAGTACAACCTTGGATTGCGAGCATAATTCGTTCCGGAAACGTGTTTTGTAATCCAAAGCACTCGTATATCAAAGCGAATTTCCCCATAAGAAATAATGGTTTTACCGTACCCATCAAGATGCTTTCAACTCTATCCCAAGCAATGGCGGCTGCTCAGAGCCCAATGCTTACCCAAGCAGGATAACACTTAGACCCTGCCCTCTGGCCCCTGAAAGCAACAATCAGATTCACAGCACTGATGTTGTGAAGCAGTGAGGGACAGCGAGAAGCAGGCTGAACTAAAAGTGTTACTTCTTGTGTACAGGTACGTGAAATAAAGTAACTGGTTAGATTAAATGTACTCTACTATGAGGTAGGGAGCAGTGAGATAAGCATACAACTTATACTGGAAGGAAACGAAGTTGTAAACTGAGTGTACCAGCCTGCAATAGATTAATGTGTCCGTCCGTCCGTCCCCTTTCAATACTTTAACGAAGTGAAATCTCGTGCTGTTGGGTGTAAAATCAGCAATAGACAGCGCAGAGACTTGATATGTCTTATTGCACCCAACATTTGGAAGTCACATTATCTCATTTGCGAACTTCGCTTTTGGGGACGTGGCAAATTCACACACAGCCCACAGCCGAGTACCATTTGCGAGGCGAAGTTCGAAGGCACCGTGACGTTACTTTGACAATGTTCCCACCAGCCCACC